TTTTCCTTCTGTTTTTCTGTAGTTTACTCACGATTCTATTGCTAAACACATCTTAAAAACAGTTATCTGGAACTCTGTTGTGAATTAATAGTTTTGTGGGAATCTGCTCAATAGCTATACAGGGATTATTTTATGCGACTTTTTTGGTGGAAAAATTAAGTTTTGACTGTATTGATGAATATAAAAACAGACACTAAATTATACATAATTTCCACTATGGTTATATATATTTACAACACAGTGGACAACTAGAGAAATTAATGCAACACAGAGAAAGTCAGCAGGATCGTTTGTGTATTTATTCTGAAAACAGGTACAGTAAAGAAGGTCGTCTGGGAGTGTTTTTGAATGTTCTGTGCTTCAGTGTGTTTTCACTTAAATGAAAGTTTGGATATTAATTTTAAAATAATTATTTTCCTTTATTTATACCTGCAAAACTAAATAAGTAAAATGAAAACTTAGCTAATAAACTTTTGGCATTAGTTATATGAGTCAACTAAATCCAACTCTTTTGCATTTTAAACTGGTATTTAAACATTGTATATTTATAAGGTCCCATGTGATATTTCCGTACATGCCTTAACCAAGTCGTTTCCAGTCAGGGTAACCATACTATTTCTTCAAACAGTTCCTTTTGGGGAAAATACTGAAACATTATTTCTTCTAGTTTTTTTTAAGCCAAAATGTGCAATTCTTCATCATAGTCGTGAAATAGCAGAACATCTTCGTTTATATAATTTAGTTGCTGCTGTTCACCTGTCCTAAACAGTCTTTCTGTATCATTCTCCCTGCTTCTGGTAGTCATCATTCAACTCTTGTACGAATCAGACCATACAGTACTTCTCTTTCTGCACTTGGCCTGTTTTGCCTAACGTAAAGTCTTCTATTTGCCTCCAGTTGTTGGCAAATGACATAATCTATTCCCTTTAAGAGGCTGAGTGATATTTCAGTGGAAATGCGTGTCTCATTTTCTTTATCCATTGTGAATACAGCTACCTAAGTTATTACCATTTCTTTCTTATTGTGAATTCTGCTACCATAAACATGGGAGTACATGCATACCTTTTGAAAGAGTAATTTCATTTCCTTTGAATGTAGATCCCTTGGTGGGATAGCTGCATCATGCAGTTAGTTTTATGTTGTGTTTGAGGAATTGCCATGCTGTTTTCCACCAAAGATGAGCTAATTTACATTCCAGCCAGCAGTGTGCAAGGGTTGGATTCCCATTTCTCCACATCCTTGTCGGCAGTTGTATCTTTTTTTGTTTTTTTAAAATTTCTTTATTTTTATTGTAAAGCCTGATATACAAAGAGGAGAGACAGCATGATCTTCTGTCGAATGATTCACTCTCCAAGTGACTGAAACTGCCAGAGCTGAGCTGATCCAAAGCCAGGAGCCCAGAGATTCTTCCGAGTCTCCCACATGGGTGCAGGATCCCAAGGCTTTGGGCTGTCTGTGACTGCTTTCCCAGGCTACAAGCAGGGAGCTGGATGGGAGCAGAGTTACTGGGATTAGAAATGGCACCCATATGGGATCCCAGCATGCAAGATAAGTACTTTATCCACCAGGCCAACACGCCGGGCCCAACAGTTATTATCTTTAAATCTTTCTGATAGTGGCCCTCCAACTTGAGTGAGGTGATAATCCATTGTGGTCTTGATTTGTGTTTGTCTGATGATTATGTTGTTAAGTATTGCTTAATGTACATTTTGCCATTGCTTTATTTTCAAAAAATGTGTTTAGATCTTTCTATGTTTAATTGAATTATTTGTTTGAAATATTGAATTGTTTGAGTATGTTTACCTAATATTTGTACATAAGAGATATCAATTCTTTTTTTTATTTATTTCATTTTATGACTCAGATTCATAGGCTCTGGGATTCCTTCAACCCCTCCGCAAGCCCTTCCCCTATATTGAATTTCTCCATATTGTTACAGCAGTACAGTTCATAACCAGTTACCATTTCTTCATTGTGGGCATAGATCATGCAGAGTCTAACATTTCTTTTTATCTTGATTGATGTGTTTTTATTTGAAAGGTAGAGTTACAGAGAGGTTGGTCTACCATCTGCTGGTTCACTCCCCAATTTGTCACATTAGCAGAACTGGGCCAATCTGAAACCAGGAACCAGGAGCTTCTTCTGGGGGCCCAAGGACTTGGGCCTTCTTCCACTGACTTTCCAGGCCATTAACAGGGTTGAATTAGAAGTGGTACAACCATGACTCAAACCAGACACATATGAGCGCATTGGATACTATCACTGCCGGCAGAGGCTCTGCCTACTCTGCCAAAGCACCAGCCCCTTAATTCTTACAGCCAGTTTCACAGCATCATTTATTGTAAACCTGTTTTGATCACCTCTATCAAAAATTGGTTGGCTGTTGATATCTGGATTTTCTTCTAGGTCTCTGTTCTGCTCCAATGCTCTCTGTCAGTATTAATACCATGTTGTTTCACTGGAGCTTTCTTAATGTATTTTAAAATGAGGTGGTATAATACCTCCTACTTTCATTATTTTTTATCTGTTCAGGATCTTTTGTGTTTTCCATACAAATTTTAGTTGTTTTTTTTTCCGAGAAAATTTTCATTCATATTTTGCTGGAGATCTGATTGCATCTGTAAATTGCATTGGATAATCTGAACATTTTAGCAATATTGGTTGTTTCCACCCAGGAACACAGGCTGTTCTTCAGTTTCTTTCATTAGTGTTTTTATGGTTTCATCATAGCAACCTTTCACCTCCTTGGTTAGACTTATTTCTGGTCTCTTTTTTTTTTTCCTTGTGCCCACTTAATATTGGATTGCTCTTTTGTTTTCAGTTTGCTATTGGTGTATAATACTGCTTTGATTTTTGATTGTGGACTTGAGATTCTGAAGCTTTGCTGAATTTGTACTTCAGCAGTATCTGATAATGATACGTTTTGTTCTATACTTGAATCTAACACTCTTCCTTGTGCCATACACACACAAGCTACAAAGGGCTCACCATGCTAAATGTATACATATTTAGAATTGTCATTTTTTTAATGTAGTTTAGAAACATGTACTTAACTGAATTTTATAACATTCTTTAAATCAATTCTGAATTTAAGATAATCATGGACATTAAAATATTTCTCACTTCCAATTGTGTGAAGATGCTTTGTTTTCTGCAGACCATTCAATGTCAGCATTTCAGTCAGCTTCTTTTCCCATGAGGAGGTGAATTCTTCATGTGTTTATTTAGCTCCTCCTAATTACACAGTCTGTGCCTGATACACAGGTTGTACCTGGGGATTATTTGATAGATAATCTCCATAATGAATGAATAACTATGATTTTTATTTAAAATTTCAGAAAAGGGGATTCTAGTATGGGTGAAACCAAGGTGTTAATATGTTTCACATATTCTGTTTCCATCAGTTTATCCCTTGAGGGAAGTAGTTCTGAGAACCAGAATTAAAGATGAACCTGCTGTGACGTGATGATACATAGGCACCTGTGCAGAACGAAAGGCTGACAACTCATTTGTGGCAAAAAAAAAAAAAAAATATATATATATATATATATATATATATAATGGATAGCTTTAAAATAAGGTGCAGGAGCAAGTCTAGCTTCACTTTATTTGTTTTAAAGAGTATCAGGCCTGGTGGCGTGGCCTAGCGGCTAAAGTCCTCGCCTTGAACACACTGGGATCGCATATGTGTGCTGGTTCTAATCCTGGCAGCTCCACTTCCCATCCAGCTCCCTGCTTGTGGCCTGGGAAAGCAGTTGAGGACGGCCCAAAGCTTTGGGACCCTGCACCCACGTGGGAGACCCAGAAGAGGCTCCTGGCTTCAGATTGGCGCAACACTGACCGTTGCAGTCACTTGGGGAGTGAATCATTGGATGGAAGGTCTTCTTCTCTGTCTCTCCTCCTCTCTGTATATCTGACTTTGTAATAAAAATAAATAAATCTTCAAAGAGTATCCTATTTTTTAGCAATATTGCATATTCTATTGTTTGGTTGAAGAAGTGATATTATACACATCATTTGTTAGCTTCTGTTGAGTGGGGTTAGGGTTAGGGTCCTTGCCCTCAAAATTACATGAGGTCATGTTGAATTTGCACTTTCTGGGGCTCACCTGAGCTCTGGAGAATCAGAATGATTCTGAGCGGGTGGTGTACTGCAGGTAACAGGCTGGTCCACAGGTACTTCTAGACCGTTTATAGGGAGCTGATGAAGTCAGGGAATCATCTGAATGTGTAGATGAAAATGTCAAAAAACATTAGGCTTATTGTATAGAGCCAAAATGCTGACTAAAGCATTTAATATTTTTTTGTGTTTTCCTTCAAATGTTACTCTTTCATAATTTTATTAGGAGCTTAATATGCAGAAAGTCAGGACACATTACCTCAGGATTCATCTAAACTTCTCCTAGTCAAAGGTAAACAGTGTGGAGGCATTCATTTGTGATTTGGGAGAAAACCATGTAAATCACACACATGTATTATGTATTTTGTGATTCTGGGATATAATTTTAATTTTTAAATTCAGTGATCTTGCGAAGATATTTTTGTCAAAAATTGGTTAAGTGTAGACAAGATGCGGTTGTGAGACCTATGTTAACTTAAGCACTGATCAAGATGGCAGTTTGTGTGTTGACACATTTTGTGTGAGAGTTCTTGTAGCAGTGCCTGAAGTGTAACAGGTATCAGTCTAACAGATACCCTTAGACCCAAGGTCAGGTGAGTCATTGTCTCCGTGTTAGTGATAGAAGAATGAGGGGCAGCTAGGAAGTTTATGAAGCTAACCAAGGATCATCATCTAGCTACGTCTACCACTGCAGCTGTAGTGACTTGTACCACAGATGGTGGAAGCAGCAATAAGCTCATAGGTGATCACTTCTGCAGGTGAAATATGATAAGAAAGGCAGGTCTGTTGAAATGTAGTGTTGTGCTGAGTTTTTGTCTTACCCGAGTTTTGTAGACTGATTGTATACTAGTTTGTGAATTTGCATCCTCTTTTTCTTTCAGCAAACTTCCTTGATAACATGCTTTTGCGAAGTTCAGGAAAATTAAACGTGGGCACCAAGAAAGAGGATGGTGAAAGTACAGTGCCCACCCCTCGTCCGAAGATCCTGCGTTGTAAATGCCATCATCATTGTCCAGAAGACTCTGTCAACAATATTTGCAGGTTGGTAATATATCTCACTGCAACCTAGAGCTAATAAGAAATTCTTGCATTTTGTCAACCCCAGAACCTAGTGTTGCCAAGCAGGCATTGTGGAGAATAGCGGCTGATCTTAGTAACAGTCAGAGCTATGCCTGTGCCTGGACAAACACAGAACTGTGTCATACCCTGACCTGCTATTCTCAGGGCCTTCCTCCCTGCAGACAGCACCTATGTATGTAAACACAGGGCACAGGGCCAAGGGCCAGGCACACTGGTTTCCTTTCAAAAGACCTGGTCCCCACAATCAGTACAGTAGCAGAGACTGTCAGATCTTGTGCCGTGTTTCTTATATAACCACATCCTCATTTTGCTGAAGTTAGTATTTTGGAAAAAACGAAGTTGTTGGAAATATTCGTATGGTGACTTGGAGAGAATGGATAGTGACAGAGCTTATGTGCAGCCACTTAATGTTAGAAAAGACATTGTTAAAAAAAAATCCAAGACCATCAACTCTCTGGTTGGTTGTCATATGCTTTTAAATGGTTTATAACATTTGCCAACAGCTTGCTGGTGTGTTCTGCTCACACACGTTTCTCTAGCCATATCTACCTTGCTGATCACTGTAGCTGCATTTGCCCCCTAGGTGTGGAGAGTGGTGGGTAAAAGCCAAGGCCTCATCAAGTCAGAGTATCAAGGATTCATGCATACATTAGCCAGATGACAGTTGGCCTCAGAATGAACAAGTCACAGTAGGACAGAAGTCTCTAGAGAGCTCAGGGACTCACACAAGGGGATGTGCTGCCAGCTGTGAAGTCCAGAAAGTCAGGCCAGGCAGCCTGCAGGGGCTTCGTCAACCAGCTGCATCAATAAGAGCTGAATGCTGGGTTTCCCCCGTTGCTTTCTTTGTGCTTTATCTTATGCCTGCACTAAGCAGGGTATGAAGAAGGTTGCACATCCAAAAATTCCAGTCATGAAATTTAAAGCCAAGAGAGCTCCAGAATCTGGAACTTAGTGAGCACTGACATTTTGGTCACCATGAAAGATTCCTTTCAAGCTTATTTGATCTATTGAGGTGATCACACCTATGGTATTTTTTAAAACTCTCCTAACATCAACGTTTTTGTCCTGTTTTCTTTATAAATCGTTGAAGTTTCCTAAGCTAGTTTATGAGGAAGTGCAGGGGAAAAAAAACACATGAGCCATTGCAGAGGAAAGTTCTTGTTGTGGGGAAAAGTGAGGTCTGTTAAAGGCCTAGTGGTTTCGTTAGACTACAGAGAATAGGAAGGATATGGTAGATGCGGAGCCTCCAGCCAGGAAAGGAGTTCTGTGGCCTGGTAGACTGTCTTGAGAATGCTGATCTGGCTTCTAAGAGATTTAAAGCTATTGGACATGGGTGTTTAAGCAGGAGTATTCATGGTTGTTGGCATAATATGACTTATTTTTGTTGAAAACATTGTTTGCTGCAGAATATTATATGTATTAGGAACAGAGTAAAGTTAAATCAAGGACACTTAAAATGAAAAAGTAAATTCAGCAAGTATGTGAAAGAAAATTTGGGCCATTATTGTGGCTCAGTGATTTCAGCCACCAGCGGCATTATCAGCATGCCTTATAAATGCTGGTTCCAGGCTTGACTGCTCCTGAATTCAGGTCAGCTCTGGGATGATGTGTCTAGAAGGCGGCAGAAGATGACACAAGTCCTTGGATCTTTGACAACTCGGTGGGACGCCCAGTTGGGGTTACAGGCTTCTGGCTTCAACCTAGCCCATTCCAGCCACTGTGGTCATTTGGGCATTGAACCCATGGATACAAGATCTGTCTCTAATTCTGCCTAAATCTTAAGGAAGGAGGCAAATGATTCCAAAGTAGGAAGAGAATTGCATGTACTTAAGAAATATTTAGGGAATCGAGTTCTGTGTTGATGGACTGGATGTTGGAAGGGAACAGGAGGAGCCTTGATGTTTCTGGGTGTAGCTTTAGCTGCATAGCAGAGCTTTTCTGTGAAAGAAGATGGAGGCACAAAATTGAGTTTCTGCTTGGACATGTAACCTTGAGCTTTCTGCACATTTTCCAAGAGATGTTTAAAAAGAGGTAGTAAAATATGGACTTATCTTCAAAGAAGTAGATGGGAGAAGAGGCAGGCTAAGTAGAGAACTAATAGATGTTTCCTGGTAAAGGAACACACAGAAACATGGCAGTTTAGTTCTAAAGGCATTTATGTTTTCATTTAGGGATTTGTAAGGGCTACTCCTGTGCTGAGCTCAGAGGCAGGTGGGTGGTCTTGACGTCAGGTGGATGCTTGGTTTAAGGCCTATTGAGCACTTTTGTTCTTGGATCAACAGTTATCCAAGTATTCCCTTTCTTGCATGAACATTAGGGAACAATCTCAGACATTTGTATCATGACCTGTCAGTCTGCCAGATGATAGTCCAGCTCAGTGTCAAGGGGAAGCCAAGGCCAATGGGAAGTGTGAAGGGTTAGGACCAGCAATTGTACAATCCCATCTACCAGAGCAGGAATCCCCAGAGACTGAAATTTAGTGGTAAAGCTGAATCTAGGTACACAAAGGTGGTAGTAAGGGCAGCCGTATTGGATGTTCGTCAAATAAGACCAGAATTGAAATGTGGCCTACAGATACATTGATATAATTAACTGCATTTTAGAGATATTTAGTACAGTGATGATGGAGAACAGTTTGGAATTGGCTGTGAATTATTCTGTTGTAGATCTTCAGTTTATCATGCAGAGAGAAAGAAAATGAAAACACAGCAGATGAGAAAACAGTAACAGGCATAATGGAAGCCATGAAAAGAACATGGGTTCTAAGCCAGGATGCTAAGGTTTGCCTATGTTTACCCTGCAATTTATATGATCTTTACTTGCTGTAAAGAACCTAACATATTCCTCAGATGAGGAGGCTGAGAATCTAAAGGGTTAAGTCATTGTTCAATAGGAATGATACATGATGCCAAAATTGTAATCAAGATTTCAAAGTCTTATTTGTGGTTAGTAGCCAAACTCAGTGCTGATTCTCAAAGGGAGAACCATTCACTCTTCAGTCAAATGCGTATGCGCTTTGTTGAGGTGACACTGGCTGCATTTGACCTTCCTGTGAGCTGCAGTCAGTCATGTGCCATCCGGGGCCTTCTGGTTTTTTTCACTGAAGATAAAGCCAAAGTTTTCCACCTCCATTCCTGTGAGTCTACATTCTTCTCTTGGCCTTCCATGTCTTTCTCCAGCTGACTACAGCTAGAACGATTTTCCTTCTCAATCAGCAGTTATACTGTTATATTGATGAAGTAAATTGAAAATGCGGCGTTGGGAAGTTGCAGGGTGAGCATTTGGTGCAATGATTATAATGCCTACATCTCCTATAGAAATGGTTACATTTCTGTATTACTTAGCTTCCAATTCCAGCAGGTGACAGATGATGTGGATGAGTCCCTTCCACTCACAAAGAAGACATAGGGATTGATTTCCCAGAACGCTGCTTCAGCTTGGCCCAAGACTGACTGTTGCAGGCATTTGGGGAGTGTCCAGAGACGAGAAAAGATTTCTCTGTATCTCTGAAATCAAATAAAATTTACAGGTTTTTAAAAATAAAAGTAGTTAAACACATGCTTATTTTTCTGTTACTTTTTAGCTTCAACAGACATAAATGTTACTCTCTAAAATTGTTCTACAAGTTTCCATTTTTGTATTAAGCTCTTAGCAGACCAGTATCCAGTTTGCTGGCCTGCAGTAAGATGCCCCTTGAGTAATTCAGTGCTAGACATGCACTCCTGATAAAGCAACATTGAGAAGACAGGCATGTTTTCTTATGCTTGAGATGAGGGCTAATGTGGTCTGTCTGGCCTGTGACTGCTTACCAGGCAGATGTCAACCAAATTGTTCTAGGTAAGTGACACATGGTAACTCAGGTGACATTGTCTGCATTTAGGGGTTTATAAACCCTACAGCTCATCATTGGTTGTAGTGCCAGTCAACACCAATGCCAGTGTAAATCTTGCCTTGATTGCTGTCAAATATAGATATGTCTGCTTCCAAAGATCCATAGCCCCCACTGCATATGGCATGCACGTTCGAGGATGTAATATGACTATATCATACTGAATATCTTCCTCTATATCTCTCTCCTCAGCATTTCAAAGTGAGGGGTAAAGCATTGTCCTGTCTTCCTTAAGATAATGTACATCTTCTGTTTGTACTATTGGTTGTCATTCTTCATTATAATCCTTCCAGTTGCATTGTCAGATTCTGTGTCTAGAACCACAGACATTATTGCAGGCTTGGAATCCTACAAAGTCTTGAGTGGTTCTTAATCCTTGAATATCATTATGCTGATGTTTCATTTCATATTCCTGGTTCAGCAAGTGCTATCTAAACTTTGTCATTCAGTATGGCTTTGCAGATCTCCCCTTATTTTGCTTGACATGATCTGCAGTGCCATCTTTATCCCAGTCTCATTCCCTTTCTCAAGTTCTTCTGAGTTCTCTTGCTAATCTACCCATATCTGAGAATTATTTTGCCTCATTTTTTGAGGGATAAAATTTAATACTTAACTCATTTTGACCAAGAATTCTCCTGCCTGGGGAATTTTCAGAATTTAATGTGCAATAAATCAAATTGTGTTTGCACCAACACTAGGCTGTGTATGTGAGGATTTAGATAAGTTTCCAACTATGTACCTAGAAGATTTACAGGGCCAATAAGAAAGCTTCGAGGCTTTGAGCCTTTTCACAAAGTTTATGTTAACCCTTTTTAAATCCTCTTGCTCAGTGTCATGGGCTGAGTTTTCAGATGGTTGCTGCTAACCCGATGTCTCAGAATATTTAAAGTGCATGGTGTTGTCTGGGTTTGTGTGTCTTACCTTTCATGCTGAATATCATTGTAAGCCATTAAGGGTTTTCTGCTGTTACCGTTTGATCTAACCCTTCATGATTCTTTTTGTTTTTGTAGGAGATGTTTATTTCAAACCATTGTACTTATGAGAGGGTTGGATCCTCTACTAGAACTTTATT